CCCCCCCCCCCCCAATCCGCTGTATAGACCCTCTGGGATTGGATCTGCCCAGGCACTGGCAATTGATCTGCCGTGGGATTATCTTCTCCATCCCCTGTCACCCACTGTCCTTCAGTGGGGAAAAACTCTGGCCCCCAAATCCTGGTGACTGCCTTACCGTAGAGCCCACTTCAGGTATTGACCTGCATGGATTGTGGGGCCTCCTTTTTGCATGGTCAAGAGCTGTTAATCCGTAAGGAAGGCATCCCAGGCACTGGTACCATGCTGCCTGGGGCAGAGTCCCAAATCTAGAGACTGACCTACCTGGGGAGTCTCATCTTGTGAGTAAGAACTGGCCCGCCCCCTGTCCAGACTCTTATCCCCTTTGGTAAGGGATTTTCCTTTCTTGGTCCCCTCTTCCTTTATATTCACACTGACTGAAATCCCTATTTGGTCAACTTGCCCCAGAATTTAAACCCTTCCCATGCCCCCTCCCACTGACTCTTTTAATAAGGTGCAGACTCTAGGGATTCATCTATGATCCAGAATCCCTTGATTCTTTAACAGAGGTGTGGAGGAAGTGGAACCAACCTGCTTCTCCTTCCTTCCACTTCCTGACAGGCCAGAGTTGTGCCTGCTCCTCTAGATGCTTTTTGTCCCAAGCCACTGGACCCCTCTTCCACAGTCTCCCCATTTGAGTTGCTTCTGCAGGCCAGGCCTGTGCCTTGCTTGCTGCCAAGCTAGTTTGCTGGTGCTCTTAGGCCTGAGCCTCTTGGAGGTTTGTTTCTGCTTCTGGGAAGTAGTGGAGTTGCTAGGTAGATGCTTAAGTGAAGATTTTCAAATGTGATTAGTCATTTTTGGGCCTCAAATTTTCTATGCTAAATTTGACACCTTAAAATGGCCTGAATTTCCAAAAGTGCTGAGTTATACACCTTCTGATAATTGGAGCTGTTAAAGTGGCTCAGATTGGTAACCCAAATCACTAGTAAGGTCTGAAAATCTTGACCTAAAGCTCATTACCTACTTTAGCTGAAGAATGCTGTGTAATAGGTGAAGGAGTTGTTGTTTGGGAAACATGCAGGTCTAATCTAAATTGGTTAGAAAAGGTATTTAAATGCCATTTGTTTAGGGGGTAGGGAATACCTCAAACTGGTTGAAGGGCAACAGGAAGCCATTTTTTTTCTTCTTTATCCCCTTCTAAAGACACTTGGCTCTTCTCCCCATGCTTCAATGCAGTTGAAGACTGAAGGAGTCTGAAGGGAGCTGTTATGTAGACAAGGCTAAATTGAATTGTATTGGCTTTTTTGCCTGAAACTAGGTACCAGTTGTACAGGGCACAGTGTGTGTGCAGTCCCTGGTATCTGCCAATGTTTGTCACCATGTCTTGAAGACCTCTTAGCACCGTTACATATGGTGCTTAACATTATGGTGACTGTCTGGAGCTAGGACTCCTCACTGGTGGGGAAATTTTTCAGCAGAAATATTAGTTGAGACACCCCCTTTAAGGTGATGGGGCTCTGTGTGAAATGAAGTTTTGATGTGATAGTTCTTGGATTTCAGTGTTTATGGTTTAACAAGTAAACACACAATAGTTTTGGGCTATGTCATCTATTTAACCTTTGAGGGGATTTTGAAGAGAAAACAAATGTATGAGTTGGTGAAAACATGACAGTGAGTTAGCTAGAGCTATTATAATGTAGTTCTGTTTGGGATAAAAACAATTTCTCTTTCTCTTCACCCCCCCCCCCCCATTACTCTTATTCCTATGATCAGAGTAACAAGACTCTGCCAAAGGGCCCTCTGTACAACTGGAAAATTCTCTGCTAGCTGTATTGATTTATCATTTTCTCATAAAAAATGCTTCATATGTAGTAAATTGCCTCTTTCCCTGCAGACCCCTTTGCTGATGCAACTAAGGGTGACGACTTACTCCCGGCAGGGACTGAGGATTACATTCATATAAGGATCCAGCAACGAAACGGCAGGAAGACGTTAACTACTGTTCAGGGAATTGCAGATGATTATGACAAAAAAAAACTTGTGAAAGCTTTCAAAAAGGTAAAGCTGCTAGCTTGATGTGGAAATGGGAACGCAATGCCAATTTGTGAAAATAGAGTATTTTACTTTGACTTTTGGCTACGTGTCTGCTTCATTTTCACATTTGGCTAAGCCGGAAGGGAACAGTTTGTCAAAACTGTATAAAATAATTACCTTTGTTCAAGGGACAATACAGTATTCTTGAAACGAACAATTTTTTTTACAAATGTTAGTCTCTTAAAACTTGTTCTCAGTAATCTAGTTAATTTCCACAAGTGTCTGCCATTTTTGTTGATTTGGCAGATATAAATCAATGACATGAGTGTTGCTTTTAACTTCATGGTACTGCAATTTTTGATTTGCAGTGAGTGTCTTGTCTCCAGTGAAACTCTTAAGAAACATGGAAACTAGTGGCAAATTGGACAGGCAAATCTTACTGTGCTTGACTTTCCATCTTTTGCTTTTAAGTGTTTTGTTTGGTTGGGGGCGGGAGGGGCTGCAGCTTGCCAGCTTACAGTTTTTTGTGTGTCTAATGCTGCTGTCCTGGTGTCACCAAGTAGCTTCCATACTGTTTTTAAAAATAAGAATAGTGTCGTTTTAACCATGTTTGTCTTTCTGTCTTTTTGTTGATAACCAACTTATTTATAACCTTCAATATTTATCTTGCGCAGCTTCTGTTAAAGTAAACTGTAATGAAGCTTACTATGCTTTACAGTGTACATGAGATGTCTTACAATATGAATGTTTTTCTAGAAATTTGCTTGTAATGGTACTGTGATTGAGCATCCTGAGTACGGTGAAGTTATCCAGCTTCAAGGTGACCAGAGAAAGAACATTTGCCAATTCCTCTTAGAGGTGAGTGACTACAGACAGACCACTAGCAGTATTTTAGATCTCTCTCTGAAACTGATAAAGACCTTAATTGTTAAAGGTATCATATTAATTTATTTCTTTACATTTAACCAGTTTTTGAACCTTTAATACAGCTCTTAATACACTGACCTGAAAGGACAAAACCAGATGCTTGCAGTACATAAGAACGGCCATACTGGGTCTGACCAAAGGTCCATCTAGCCCAGTATCCTGTCTTCCGACAGTGGCCAATGCCAGGTGCCCCAGAAGGAATGAACAAAACAGGTAATCAAGTGATCCATCCCCTGTTGCCCATTCCCAGCTTCTGGCAGACAGAAGCTAGGGACACCATCCCTGCCCATCCTGGCTAATAGCCATTGATGGACCTGTCCTCCATGAATTTATCTAGATCTTTATTTGAACCCGTTATAAACTTGGCGTTCACCAAGTCTGGCAAAGAGTTCGCCAGACTGACTGTGCGTTGTGTGAAAAGATACTTCTTTTGTTTGTTTTATATCTGCTGCCTATTAATTTCATTTGGTGACCCCTAGTTCTTGTGTTGAGAGAGTAAATAACACTTATTTACTTTCTCCACACCAGTCATGATTTTTATAGACCCTTAGTCGTCTCTTTTACAAGCTGAAAAGTCCCAGTCTTATTAATCTCTCCTCATATGGCAGCCGTTTTATACCCCTAATCATTTTTGTTTCCCTTTTCTGAACCTTTTCCAATTCTAATATATCTTTCTTGAGATGGGGCGACCACATCTGCTGGCAGTATTCAAGATGTGGGCATGCCATGGATTTATAGAGAGGCAATATGATATTTTCTGTCTTATTATCTATCTCTTTCTTAATGATTCCCAACATCCCGTTCGCTTTTTTGACTGCTGCGGCACATAGAGTGGATGTTTTCTGAGAACTATCCACAATGACTCCAAGATCTTTCTTGCGTGGTAACAGCCAATTTAGATCCCATCATTTTATATGTATAGTTGGGATTATGTTTTCCAGTGTACGTTACTTTACATTTATCAACACTGAATTTCATCTGCCATTTTGTTGCCCAGTTCACCCAGATTTGTGACATCCTTTTGGAGCTCTTCGCAGTCTGCCTGGGACTTAACTATCTTGAGTAGTTTTATATCACCTGCAAGTTTTGTCACCTTGCTGTTTACTTGTTTTTCCAGATCATTTATGAATATGTTGAATAGGACTAGGCCCAGTACAGACCCTTGGGAGACACCACTATTTACCTCTCTCTATTCTGAAAACTGACCATTTATTCCTACCCTTTGTTTCCTATCTTTTAACCAGTTACCGATCTATGAGAGAACTTTCCCTATTATCTCATGACAGCTTTCTTTGCTTAAGAGCCTTTGGTGGGGGACCTTGTCAATAGCTTTCTGAAAATCTAAGTACACTGTATCCACTGGATCCTCCTTGTCCACATGCTTGTTGACCCCCTCAAAGAATTCTAGTAGGTTGGTGAGGCATGATTTCCATTTACAAAAACCATGTTGATTGTTCCCCAACAAACTATATTCATCTGTGTCTCCGACAATTTTGTTTACTATAGTTTCAACCAGCTTGCCCAGTTCTGAAGTCAGGCTTACCAGCCTGTAATTGCCAGGATCACCTCTGGAGCCCTTTTTAAAAATTGACGTCACATTAGCTATCCTCAAGTCATTTGGTACAGAAGCTGATTTAAATGATAAGTTACAGACTACGGTTAGTACTTCTGCAATTTCACATTTGAGTTCCTTCAGAACTCTTGGGTGAATACCACCTGGTCCTGGTGACTTATTGCTGTTTAGTTTATCAATGTGTTCCAAAATCTCCTGTAATGACACCTCAATCTGGGACAGTTCCTCAGATTTGTCACCTAAAAAGAATGGCTCGGGTTTGGGAATCTCCTTCACATTCTCAGCTGTGAAGACCGATGCAAAGAATCCATTTAGTTTCTCTTCAATGGCCTTATCCTTGTGTGCTCCTTTAGCATCTCGATCGTCCAGTGGCCCCACTGGTTGCTTAGCAGGCTTCCTGCTTCTGAGGTTCTACCTTTGTTTTGTGATTGTGTAGTAGTGTATTGTGATAATCAGGGTGATAAACATGTACAAGTCTAAAATGTTTCTAAATGTTCTTGCACCTCTCTATTGAATTAACAATTCCCATTCTTTGGGGAAACAAAGTTTGGAGTTTTGCCTCTTGTTGTAAAAGCCAAAATATGTCTGACAAATATAACTGATACTGAACAGGTGCTGTGGGGTGGGGGGAAAATAGCTAATATCCTTTGTCTTGTCATAAGAATACTCAGCTGTAGCTGCTGTTTGAAGCCGTGTTATCAGTTGGGTTTTTTAAAGCAGTTCAGATCGAAAGGATAAATGGAAAAGACTAAAAGATTGAGATGTTCTATGTTGTTTCTAGTAACCAGGTTCCTAAATAAAAATTTTAAGGCATATAATTCTTTGGGGCAAACTTCTGGAGATAATTCTCTTAACATTTGACTCTGGAACCTGGAAAACAGCCAGTAATCCTGTATTGTACCTGTTGATGCACATGGAGTCCCTTGTCACTCCTAATGACTGCTAGATCTTCTCTCTTGATGTAATGTTATGGCCACTCCGCAGTACAGAAGCTTTACTGAAATGTGTTTCCCTTTTGCAGGTTGGCATCGTCAAGGAGGAACAGCTGAAAGTTCATGGTTTTTAAAATGTGTATAATCACATGAAGAATTCTGCAGTTTTTGTTCATACTCACGCTGGCTAAACTGTGAAATATGAGTCTTTTCAGTAAATGGACTTCCCACTTACCTAAGCATTTAAAGATTTATTCACATTTGCATGATTACAGAAAACATGTGGTGTGTAGACTAGAAACACACAAAAAAATTGCAGTAAGATGGTAATGAAGACCTTTGTGAATTTTTAACACATTTCCAATGGAAATGTTTTAGTGCTGATTGTTGAGTTTATTACTTTTCACCTGACTTAAATGTTTTTGTTGTATTAAAACCATGTATGTTGCAGCTTAAAAATTAAGTCTCTTTGTATGTTTCTTTGAGTATTTGGAACGCTTAGTCAAGCAACAATCCTGATTTAGTGTGATTAAAACAGCTCTGTGGCAAGTTTAGTTTACTGAATACCAACTAAACTGAGGTCTGCATAATGAAGTGTTACTTTTGATTTTAATTAGCTAAGATAAATTAGGACTTTACAATCTCTTCTGAGTTGGTGCATTTGAATACCAATATTAAGAACTGGATCTTCACTAGGTTAAAATCTAAGATAATCAGTAAATTCTGAAATGCTAGTCTTACAGTCAAGAGGACTTTTGCAAGCAGTACTGATTTCTTAGAGGACCTTGGCTATTGTACTTCATATCTAGGTTTTCTATTACACACTGCCATTATCTTCAGCACCAAAAAAGTTTAAAAGAAATGCATAGGATCTTCTCTTCCCTTCTTCCAAATGGAGGGAGAATGTTTTGAGATGGCTTCTACCACAGCTGTGCCCTTGAAGTTTAGTTCCTTATCTAGGATAGTGGTTATTTCAGAAAGTTGGCTTAGGTAACTTTTCTATCAAAAAACTCATTCTATTTTGTTTGAAACAATTAATGTTTTTATTAAGCTGGCCTTCTAGTTTCCATTAAAGGGACTTCCATCTCTAGGCCATATCTGTTCATAGAAAAAAATTAAATGTTTCCTATTACTGAAGTATGCAAAGATCCCTTCCTTTTTTGGGAAGGGCATGGATAACTTCTGAATAGGTACCTCGGCTATGTTGAATCAGGAAATTACAAAACCGCTGCCGTAGCTGAGGTCATTAAATGACTTTTGTTCTCCAACATCCCATCTCCCCACCAAATATTACCCCCTTCTCCCCAAAAAAATTTTTTGTACTGGTTTATGCTTCCATGTACAAACATTAGGATTAACAGGAACTGACTGAGTAGTAAATACAGTTTGTGGGAGCTGCAGAGCTATACCAAATACTCATAATGGCTGTTTGCTACTTACCTAAAGGGCTTGACTTACTAAACATTGGATTGGTGCAGCTTTGGTGTAACCCCCTTCCACCAGCCTACATCAGATATGATCCTGCAGTTATGGGGCTAATAAGTAGGATCAGGGAGCCGCATTCTGTAGCTAAATAATAGTTTTGAATTACGTTGGCTATTGCTTGTGTGTATGGGGGGGCATCCCATTTTTACTGGTATAGCTTGTTTCATGCGGGGGGTGGTGCATTTACTCACTGGGTACAAAGCACAGATTGTTCGAGTCTAGCCGCTTCTATGCCTACTGTAGACATGGGCTTAGATTGTAAAGAATGATTAGCAAACCAGAAAGCCATGTGACATTCCCCAGGGAACAATCTAGACTATTGAACAGCTGTGTCCCGTTAATTCTCCAACGTGGGGTACCTTTTACACTGCTACACTGAGAGCAACCATGCCTGGTCTGCTCACACACAGCCTCTAGCATGTAAATTACTTCCAGCTGTGTTCTGAGTGCTCTAGCCAGCCATTCCTGAATTATAGTACAGCATTACACCAGCAAATTCCCAGTTCCAGACTTGTCCCTAGAAATGTTCATCTTGTGCTGCCCAGCTCTTGCCTTTTGGACAATACAAGCTCATAGTCTCGTTTTTGTAATAGAAAAGGATATGCACAAACCCTGTTAACCCAAATGGAAGTTTCAAAACACTGGTTTAGATCAAACAAGTTTATTAACTGCAGAAAGATTTTTAAGTGATTACAAGTAATTAGGCATAAGTCAGAATTTGGTTACAAGAAAATAAAAGGTAAAATGCAACTAACATCTAACTAAAGCTAAGTGAATTCAAAACACATCCCTTGCTTTTGGAGTCTTACTGGCTGGATGCTTTCAGCCATGACCCTTCCTCCAGTCCAATGTTTTTCCTTGTCCTTCAGGTGTTGTGGGCAGAGAGAAAGAGAGAGGATTTGTGTCCTCTGTTCTCACTTATATTTTCCTCGTTGAAAATCATCTCCAGCTGAGGTTCAAGAGACAAGCTGTTTGCATAGGAACCCCCAGCTGTTCCTTGACCAAGCTGTAAATTTCTTGCTCACACTCGTTGGCAGGAAAAAGAATGGCTGCTTAACCAGCAGAGGCATAGCGAGCGCCCTCCGACAGGAGGGGGCCCCTAAAAGTGGCAAAATAAATACCGCATTCCAGTTTCTGCATTGTAAGGGGCCCCGCCCGGACATATGTTCGGAGGGGGCCACGTTCTTTGTTGCTACAGCCCTGGTTTTCCCTTTGAAAAGGTGATCAAAGTTTGTGAACCCCTCCAGGTATTTAATAATTTCAGAAAGCCTGATTCTAGTATCACTTATACTGTATAAATCTGATATTACTCTAAACGAATCAATGGTTTTATAATGGGGTAACTAAAAAAGAACAAAAGAAAACAAAAAGAACAAAACAAAAAGAAAAACCAGGCCCATAGGCTTTATCCTTCATGTGTAATGGATTAAATTTTTCTGTCATGAGTTTGTTCTTTTTTCTGTTTTCACAAAACATGCAATACACATCAACTTCACTATGGGAAAAATGTTCCTAATCTTCAATCTATTGGGGAAATGCCTGAAAAAAACACAGAAATCACCTCCCAGAATCTACACGATGTAGACATTTAGGCTCCAATACGTCTGTTGGTCTATAAGGTGCCCCAGGACTCTTTGTCGCTTTTTACAGATCCAGACTAACACGGCTACCCCTCTGATACTTGACACCATTTAGACAATTTCTGATGTAAATTTCTTAATGAGATGATTGAGTTCTATCTTTCTAGGCTTTTATACCATATTATCAATGCAGCTACCTGACCAACTGAATGATCCCTTAAAATTGTAGGATAGTAAAAGAGGAAATCAATTCACAAAAGACCAGCCATTTTAATTGCTTTTATTAGACCATACTGATGCATTTGAAAAGAGCCTTGCAATCAAGTTAATGTCATTTCTCCCAAATCGGGGGTGGCAGTCTCTCCGTTGCTCTGTTCTCACTTAACAGGGACAGGAGCAGGGGCAATCCTTCTCTTGATGGCTCTCCTGCCATTCCTCTTCTTGGAAGGTAAAACCACAGGCTGATTTAAGGGCAGGACTCCGCCCTGAGAGATGGTGACACCTCCCAGCAGTTTCTTGAGCTCTGAGTCGCTGTGAATGGCCAGCTGCAAGTGCCGTGGGGAAATCCGATGCTTCTTGCTGCGTGCAGCGACTTCCCCAGCAATATCCACAATCTCATGAGTCACTTATTGAAGCACCGCGGCCATACATACTGGGGCTCCAGCTCCAATACGGTCTGCAAATTGTCCTTTGCGGAGCAATCTGTCTATGCGACTGACAGAGAACTGCAGCCCAGCCCGGGAAGAACGGGTGATTTTGGCCTTAGGGTCTTTTGCCTTTGAGGTCTCACCAGAGTGCTCAGACTCAGTCTCAGACATGTTGCAGACTTCTAGTGTTCCAGCAACACTTGGCTTGACTTTCTTGGCTTTCTTTTGTTTTCTCTGCTTGGTTTACCTGAGTCTTTACTCAGGAATTGGCCT